ATAGCGTTATCGGGCCCAGTTTGCATCGCTTTCTCATTCGCTTTTCATGCTCTTTCTGCGAGTTAGCATGGAAGTACGGCGGACACGGTTGCCTAGTTAGTAGCCCTTCTTCATCTCGCGTTCATACCACACGGACGCAGAATGGCTGGTTCCTTCGGAGCAGTGAAAACGGCCAGCTCTTGCCACGGTTTATATGTTCTTTCTTCGACAGACAATTACCGAGTGGTTCTTCCATCCCAATTTAGTAATAAAAAGTGCATATAGTATTTTGTTTTGCAAAAATATGCATTTGATTTCACAATTTCAGGTCGACACTAAAATAGACACCGAAATACACCCAATTTGGGAGAAAAAAAACACCGGAAAAACACTCCCAAATATGAAGAGAAATAAACTGAAAACATTGGACCCTAATTATTTCTTGTAAGCTTGAAATTTCAGTTATTAAACATTTTATAGTAGCCTTTTTATGTTTCCCAAAATTAACTATGACTACATCCTTTGCAATGCATTCTTGAATACAGGTGCACATTCACAAATGCAGCAATCATTGTAAAATTCACTTATATTTCTGTTCAATAAAGCTGATGAATGTTGCATTTTTGCTTACGCTATGTGAAAACTGCTTCAGTGTAGAAAATAGCACAACAAATATATTTCCACAATATTTGAAAAGAAACTTGACAGACTTTTTTATATGTGGCCAAACTCATCGATTGGTAGTATCTCCCATTTGGGCCTATAGGTGGGAAGCCGATTGATGTCTATATAATTTTAGAGGATAAGAAATTAGGCACATTTCAGAAATTTTAGGCACTCATTTCCCCTTTAAAATCCTTCTTAGCGTAGGAAGTTCGAAAAGCTTTGAACCTTTTAGTGCAAGAAATCCGAAAGTTCGAAAATCATCGAATTTTTTAGTCTATCAAGGTCGAAAAATCGACAAGCATAGAATTTTGCAGCGTAATAAGTTCGAAATTTCCAAAAGCGTCGAACTTCTTACTTTAGCAAGTTCGAAAATTCGACTCCCGTCGAAATTCTTGACAGGGAAAGTTCAAAAATTCGAAATCTTTCGAACCTTTCGAACCGCTTGATTCAATCATCGAACTTTCGATTCGAAAAAAGTTTGCGGCATCCCTAGTCCTATAGAAGCCTCTATTGGTCCTATAGAAGCCTCTATCAGTCCCATAGACATTTCTATAGGACCAATGGAAATGTCTATCGGTCCCATAGGCATCTCTATTGGACCAATACAAATCTTTATGGGACCAATAGAAATTTCTATCAGTCCCATAGAAATATCTATCGGTCCTATACAAATCTCATTTGGTCTCATAGAAATCTCCATCGGACTTTTTGCTAGGGATCAGTTGGTATCTCCATGTCCTGGGAAGTGTCTGATGGATGGAGCAGGTCCGGCCTGGCACGCGCGGGGGAAAACCCCAGCCACAACCGGATGGAGGAGTGGCGGACGAACTGGGCGAGGGGTCACCCAAGCTCGTCTTGACACCTCCTTTCACAGGAGCTGCTTGGGTACCATGCTGCTCCTTCGGTAGGGGGGCCGTCTCCAGCGAGCAGGAGCGAAAAACTTGCTCCCTCTCCCTAGGAGGGGACCTAGGAGAGGGGGCAGGAGCGGCTGCTGCCGGCCTGTCTTTGGATGGAGGGCAGCCTGCGTGCTACCACCAGGGGCTTTTGGAAGCTGCCGCTGCCCTGGTCGGGGAGCCGGGGCCCTAAGGTCGGCCGCCAAGATCTCGGGAGAGACCTGGGTGTCACGATAGAACGTGGGCGAAGGGCGCCGAAGCACCCGCCGAGAAGAGACGACACTCAGCCTGGTTGTGAGGGTGAACGATGACTGACCGGGGCGGCGTGCGCTCCACGGCGTTTATTGGTGCGGTGACCAATGTTGCCCGCCGAGCCTGATGGCCATTGACGGGTGGACGGGAGAAGGTGCTACATGCTTGTCACACTGGGTGGCCCTTGATTCCAAGCGCGGTGAGGGGCCCCTGCGCACCGCCTCAGCATAACCACCCTTTGACAAAAAGGAAAAACACTTTTTTGCTTCTACATATGTGATATTTTCTTTGACTTTAAAGGGGCAGTGCAACGGTTTTAATGTTGAAAGAATTGGCAGTTAGCATTTTTTATAGTGTTTATACAAGCCCAAGTGACCAAAAACGCGTCATCTTTCTTTGAAAAACTGCTATTCTGCTGCGTAATCACAAGGCCAAAAGCAAATTATTTGCCAATCTGCAGCCGCCTGTGGCGGCTACGAAAACTAAAATGACGACGTCCCTGGGGGTACGCGGAAGTCAACAAACGCTGTCCCCCTCCGCTGCTACACTCGCTGTCAGCCCCGGGGCGAACCATTATTTGTGTCCATCGCTCGCCGCGACATTCGACGAGGCTAATCCTTTAAAAGTAGACAATCGCGGAGGAAGCGGCTGCGGTCTCTGAAGAGAGGGCTCAAGAGGAAACTATCCCTACCAAAAATAACGGTTTGAAATCAAACCGGAAATCTAAATCCGGTTTAAAATCAAATCGGAAAGACACACTCCGGTTTGCACAAACCGGGATTTTTCGACTCCGGTTTCAAGTCAAACCGGAGAAAATCCGGATAGACGATCTCCGGTTAGAACAAATCGGAATTTTTCGATTCCGATTTAAAGTCGAACCGGAGAAAATCCGATATACAATTTCCGGTTTGCTCAAATCGGAATTTTTCGATTCCGATTTAAAGTCGAACCGGAGAAAATCCGATAAACAATTTCCGGTTTGCTCAAATCGGGATTTTTCGACTCCAATTTAAAGTCAAACCGGAGAAAATCCGGATAGACAATATCCGGTTTTCACAAACCGGATGTCAACAACTCAAGTTCTAATGCACTCTGGAGAATGCCTGAACTGAAAATCACCCGTTTCCACAAACGTTTGACAAAATCAGTTGAAGTAAAAGTAACTGGTCAAGTCTGTGAACAGGTATACCCTCCGGTTCGCACAAGCCAAACATTGACAAGTCCAGTTGAAATAGTGTATGTCTGCCTCGTTTTGTTCGATACCCTAGGCATTGCGTGCTAAATGTTCCTAGCGGTCAAATGAAGCTATAAAAACGGCAGATTTAGTATAGTTAGAAGTTCAATGCCTTTTAAACAAGGTTAACCCGTTATAAATTCCCATTAAATTCAGTTGGAACCGCAACTGGTTTTAACTGGAACCAATTGGTTTCAGTGGGCTCTACTGGAAGCACACTGGCCAATGAGTCCCGCAAATTGGAATTATTTTTCCAGTTGGATACTGAATGGGTTCCAAATGGTTCCTGTTGGTTCCCATTGGCAGTGACCAATTGGTTGTCCCAAAAACCTAATTGTTCGTTTGCGGAATTTTCGTCGTCGTCGTCAGTATGCGCACATACAATACATACAATAAGATAATTCCAATTAGAACTTGATGAGAATTTTCAACTGGGTTGGTGAGCCTCTGAAGTATGGCAACACACATATGGTTCATGAGCAAGTTCACGAGTGTAGAATCGCTGTTAACCTGGAACATTTAATTAATTTACATTAAATTACCACATGCCACTAATACACTCATTAAATATGAGAGGAAGCAGACTTATTGTCATGTGCTAAATTAACTTCACTAGCAGCATATACATTGTCATGTGCTAAATGAACTTCACTAGCAGCATAAACATTGTCATGTGCTAAATGAACTTCACTAACAGTATAAAGATTGTCATGTGCTAAACGACTTCACTATAAGAGCATGCAAAGACATTAGAAAATAATAATGCATTATTGCTTTTGACAGTCAAGTTGTTGAGTCATATTTATTTACAAACATTTTAAAAAGCCTAAAAGAAGCACACATACACAGGAAAGCATAAATACAAAGGCTGCAGTATGACCTGAAAAAGTTAATAGTATGTAGCAAGCTCACATTTTAATCAAGTTTTCAGAGCATGTAGCATGTCTGAGCAGGTCATAGAACATGGAGCATGTCTGAGAAATTGGAACATTCCTGTGAACTTCAGCCACCGGCAGACAACTTGATATACCGATTGTGTATAGTCGTGTTTAGTTTGGTTAATGACAGGTAGTCTGTGTCGGTGCCCATTATTGCATTTCACGCACGGTAATGTTGTTTCGACTTCTCAGACATGGAAAGACATACAATAGACAATTTGAGCAATGCACGCATGCATTTCTACTCCCAAGATGAGCTTACGTATACATGACATTTTTTTACTTGAATTTGATTAGTAAGAATAATTACAAAAGTTATAAAACAAATAATTAGGTCATCAACAATAAAAAAAAAAAGTATGAATGTTTGCATTGGCATGCCTGCTGCATTACCATCTATTAAAACTACTTAAAGCAGTTATTGTCATTTTGGAATGCACTTTCAATATTTGAACCACTAGTACAGTTAGCAGACGCCTAAATCCATTCTGGTGAGTAGTGCAATTAAACAATCATCAGTTTTGTAGTAGATGTGCCCTAAAAATAACATTCATAAAAGAGCGGAATCAAATAAACATTCTTTGCAATATTTACATACACCATGCATACTGTTAGCCACCACAGCTTTAATTACAAGGCTGGATATGGCGGAGCAGTAACAGCGTGATAAGATCCAAGTCTCATACAAAAATATCAGATACTGTAAATCAAAATGGTACCCACATAGGCATCACTATACAGAAAGTAAATTAGGTAAATATACATTTCGGACGTAGAAATTGGGAACGTGCCCAATCACAGATGTTTTTACACGACGTCACTCACCCCATGCAGCTAATATATAACATTGACAGAAATCGCGGACGCCGTCAAACTTTTTGCTTGTTGCCATCGATACCGAATGGCGGTTACATGGAATCTTCAAATGTAGGCTGACATAAATTTTTCAAACTGCTTGGTTATTCTGACATTTTTAGGGGAATCCTTTCGAGTCCGAAAAATCAGTCTGCAACTATACAGAGGTGAAGCAAGCTTGCTTCAATCCCGTTCAATGCTGTTCGCCAGGTCGCAAACATACGACACGCTTGCACCTTGGTTCCGAAACTGGAAGAAAAGGCAAGATGCCTTGAGATCCGATGGCTCAACAACACGTACCGCACCCACCCTAGATATAAAGCATTCCTTAATGTGGTGCGGAAGGAGTTGGCTTTCGTTGATCACGATGTCGTCGCAAACAAGGAATACTTTCGAACTTACACACAGGATCTTTCGAATAACCCGATAGTCTAGGCCATGTGTCTGGATAACAGATGAGTCAGACTTCAGAAGTTTTTTGTTTGCCCTGCTGCGAAAGATTTGCCCTTTGAGGACAAATCTCTGGTACTCGGCAGCAAGGGCAGGGCACTCTTCAACATACTCTGCAAGTGCCATCCTGATTTCTGGAGACAAAACGAGTTTTTTAGGGCACCCAAGCAAGCCAACATCACCTATGGAAACGAAGTTGACCAGCTTGGGATAGCCCAGCATTCTGTGGCACACGTCTTTGCCGCTATCAGGCACGAGTGGTGAGGCCAGGAAAGAATCTAACTGTTGTGCCATGAACACCCTTTCCACAATCTGACTGGGGACTGCGTTGGCGCCAGTGACAAGCTTTACTAGGCGGCCATTTCCACTTTCAAATACAAAGGCAGAGTGGCCCCAGAGCGGCCCCATCTGCCGAGCCGCCTCTGCCAGGTGGAGCATCTGGTGAATGTTGAACGTCATGGCTTGATCCTTGTACAGTGTCGCTGTGGAGGCTACAAAGGTCCGCAGTAGAGCATCTGTAAGTAAAAGGTGGTTGGTATTAAGTGATAAAAAACTAATTTCTTGGCTGTGCAGTAAGCATTATGTAGCGTCAATGCATAAAAGATGTTGACACCCTGTCTATTCGGACCTTTACTGAGAATAATATACCAAGACTTTTCGACACTTAGCATGCAATATTCTGATGGCTCTTAAGCAATGCCTGAAACATTTTACAATATTCTACACCTTCCAGTGTTATCCATATTGGCACAATCATCCAGGTTTACCTCAATTAGAATTATAGTCCCGGTCTATCCAAAAGGTAGACTTCTGTTCCTTAGCTCAGTTTAAACATAGACCAATTTCAATGCCAATTGCCTTAACTTCTATGTACTATGTACACATCACGACACTGCTAGCGCAAACACGACATCGGCGCATTTTCGCACTCTACCTCTAAATAATATAAGCAAGCACAAAATTTTATTGCTTACATTAAAGATCTAAATGAGCTCTTTTTGTAGCAATAACTTGGATGACGCCCTTTAGTTTCAAAGAGAAAAACTGGAAAAACCGGCGATCGCTCGTTCGTGCTAACAGTGTCGCACTCTGTACGTACCAAAAAATACCGTGGAAGCACCCACTTCGTTCAAGCGCCCACCATTAACACTTCCCAAACTTGGGGATACTGCAAATCATGCGTTAAGCACCTGATTTGACCGGACAAGTGCCCATCTCTAGATTAACCAAGTTTTTACTGAAAGTGGGGTGGGCGCTACTTTGGTATTAATGTGAAAGCATTAACTGGTCCCATGGAGCGAGCAGACGTCATCAGCCGCACCAAACGGCAGATAAATTCCTGAAGCCGTGATCTGAGCCATCCCAGCTCTGAAACTATGCAAAAAGTCATGCAAAACGGCTATGATATGAAGCTGACGTGTGTCAATCTCAATTTGGACCACCCCATGGCACTGCGTGCCTGCACCAAGGCAAAAATGGAAGAGGCGCCGAAAGGATTACATGCGGCTGTGGCGCCGAGAGGTTCAGAAGCAGCCTTGGTGCCGAGGGGATCAGAAGCGGCCGTGGCACGAAGAATGACATTCATGCTTCCGCATTCTCAACTCGTAAGTGCTTAGATGTACCTCGAGTCTTTTTTACCGGTGTTCCCAAAAATAAATTTCAAACCTAAAATGACCCACAAAAATCAAAGACTTGAAGAGTGAAGCTGTGACTTTTCTCAAATACATATTTTACTGATCCAAGTTACCTATCAAAATCTACTCTGAAATCCCACAACAGAGATTATAAATAAATAAATGCTTGTACCAATATGGAGCCAATAGTCGCTGGGAGTATAAACGTCTTTAATATTGTCATTGAGACAGTGGTAGGTGGAAGTTTTTTGTAGTGGGAGTTGACACTATCTAAATATGTACCTCGGAGACATATTCAAGGTAAGTTACAGCTTATACGTGAATTCTTGGCTTTTGTGGGTTATCTAATTAGGTCGGGCACTATTGGGGAGACATAATGTACGAAGTAAAACGAAAACTATGATACGGATATTGTATCTGGCCCACCTTTTGTTTACAATGTTAGACGGAGACAGGCAGAGAAGCGGTTGTGTTGGCCGTGTTGTCAGTTATCACTGGACTGCCAATTTTTCTGTGGTTATCATCATCATCCCTATCTATGTTCCGCTGAGGGGCAGCATGGGCATTTTACAAGAAAGTAGAAAAAAAATCTAGACTTGAATGCAATAACAAAAACAATTACAAACATCTGTGGAATCTTCTATGTTTATTGCGGGTGCTTCTTAGCCTTCAGCTAAAAAGCGCCCAAAGGTTTCTTTTTCCACCAACATAAACAAAATATGAAGTATTCTCAGGTAAAGTGCTTCCATCATGAGAAAGGATGCATGCATTCCATTCGTAAACAAAACTCAACGATTATAATGTCCCCTTGAAGTTTAAAATGGTCACCCAGATCTGACTTCAATAAAATAAGGATGAGCATTGTGACTGAGAGCAAAATATGCTCACAGCCAGTTTATTGCATGTAGTAACAGTGCAATAGCATGTTTGCCCTCACCTGCACGGTCAATTGAGGACGAAGTGAGCTCCTCTCTCAGGAGAAGGTGCACTCCTTCAACAAGCTTGGCCAGGTGGCTCCAGTACCTTGGATGAAGGATCCCAAGTGTACATGGGAGACAGTAGTAAAGGAGCCAATGCCTCCACTCGGACGCCTTCCAGTTGGTGCGAGTTGCCAGGGACCTCGGCAGCCTTGTGACACAGTGGGGAGGCGTGATGGAAAGCAGGCGCCTGTCTAGTGCAGCAACAGAGGAGGGGCTGCCTGCAATATTAAGCAAACAAGAAAAAAACATTTCGCTATGACATCACCTTTGACTTGTTCCAAGGGCTTCAGTGTAGTGACAGTAGTATGTTAAAGGGCAACTTAAGATGTTCTAACAAAAAACGAGTTAGAGGTGGATTCTAGCGTAGTTTTACACGCTGATTTCGGATAAGTCAACCATTTGGCCGAAAAGTATTCCTCTAAATGCAAAAGGAGCACGAAAACGAGCGCCGGTCAGCATCGGCTGAATCGGCCCTACGTTATATGCAGAGCTTTATGCGGTCATTTCGTATTGCTCCTGAATGCTCGCAGGTTCAAATGGCGACCCTGATAATCACTTATCACCTTGTATACACAAAGAATGGCGAGCCGTTAAGCACCTGAGGTTTAACAAATATAGAGGGCTCTTTACATGACTCCATATGCGTTTTAGCCCTTAGCGAAGTGTGGGGAAAACATCCGGGGGGGGGCTTCGAGTCCAGAGGAGTGGCAATGCTTGCAGCCCCAGGCGAGCGGCATTGCATTCTATGCACGTGTGGGCAACCCATACTGGTACGTATCCTAATCTTTTCAGGTTGCGTCAGAACACACAAGAGAGAAAATTGAGAATGTGGGACTGTGCTGAATGAAGTGGCAGTGGCACTTGCTCGGCGCGACTATGGCGCTGCCATGCGACTGCCACTTCTTGCTCGCTGACCAAATGGCACTAGCGGGCAAACGTCCACAGACCTGTTGGTGAGTCTGTGAACATTCATCATGATTCAATTTCCTGGAAACCTCATTAGATCACGATTATATCTTACCCAACGGTAACAAATACATAGCATACCACTCAGAATCGCAAAATTTTTTAACAGCAAAAAGCTTCTAACCTTGCACACTTTGCAAGATCTACGAAATATTGACCCCACTAAAATTCCGTTCTATAATTTGAATGCTTCCTATTGGGGTGAATATCGGCTATGGATGTGTTGCATTCATTATTATTTTCACAAAGAACTTACCAGATGCATAAATCCGTGTATGATTCGCTGCAGATTTATTTGCTTGGCCTATTTTACGCTGGCGTGATTTCCTTTCTCCAATTTATTGCCGTGATTAGCCTCTCATGATGGCTTCCGATTTACGTCAAGCTTATAAAAAGTGATGTGGAGGTCGGCCAGAGCTGGCTTGCCCGAGCCAGCATTTCAGCCGAGACTGCATGGTGAAAAAAAGCACTGGCAGGGTTAGCTCACAAGCGGAGACAAATATTGAACCATAACTTCAGCTCTCATGTGCACTGGGCCTTGGCAGTGATTTCTTTCACCCAGTTTCTGCTCAAATGCTGGATTGAGCAAGCCAGCATTCTTACTGCTTCACCATGTTGATTTTGCGACATCCGACTTTGCAAAAAGCAATAGTTAGTTCAATACTTTGTATAACTAAGGACTGTGGTATAACTAATCATGCTGCCTTAGAGGAGCCAACAGCCGCACACAGGGTCGGCATAATCGTGAGACTGTCATGGTACAGAAGACCGAAACAACAAAAACGAATAACAAAATTAAACCACGCACAATCGCAGAAAACCACGAGCAGTCACAGAAAACCAAATGGAGATAGCAGCAAACAAAGCAGAGATGAGCAGACAAGCCGTACATTTGCATATAATGTCATCTGATATCACGCCTCTCACTTGCCTCAGAGAGGGCGGGGCTTCGGCGTTATTTTCAAAGCACTGTTACGACTGCTCCTTACATCAGATTGAAAAATAATTTAGATATTTGTGATCCTGAAGGGCACAAAGTGTTTTTCTTCTTGAATACAGAACCACTTAAGTCTCCCTTTAAACTTCAACAACCACACGGTGCATATGCCTCTACATCTCTCTGAACTAAAGATGCCTGATCTGTAACAGTACAATTGTTTTTTGCTTTTTTTTTGTTATATAGTTCAAAGCTCAGTAACTAAAAAACTGCCTGACACTCTCCTTATGTTGCGATTCACCAATGAACTAAATGCTCTATCAGAGCCGCTTGTCTTGTTCCTTCCTTCCCTTTCCTTTGAAGCTGATGGCTACGCGGGCATAAACAAATTAATGTTTGTTTGCTATGTTGAATGTATCCTTGGTACAGAAGGCTGGCTCCAAGAAAACGTTGAAGCCCTAGGCCCACCTACCACATCAAACATTGGTGACTTCATATTTATATGCAGGTTGCATAGTTTGCCTATTAGCAACTCAAGATTCATTTTTCCCCCTTTGGGCTGGTGCAGAACATTGAGCACAATGTCTGGTAACTGAGCAAATATAGAGCTAAATACAAGAACAAAAGCCTTAACATTTGCAATAGTCAATAAATAAACTGTTGCATCTTTCATAAATGTTTTACAAACATTTTAAAATGTAGGATTATAATATACATAAAATCGAAGTATTTTACAGGCACATTTGCAAAAAATGTGATAGTGAATGTTATGTCAATTGTCAATAATCTCACTATCCCCAGTTTTATAAATGCATATAGTGATTGATGTTGCAAATGATGGCTTGTATAGCCATCGTTTGCAACATCCTCTTGTGAATTTATAGAACCCGGTTGATAGTGAAATGATCAACAATTTTCCCATGAAAACCTTTACTAAAAGTTAAGAGTATTCCTGCCATCTTACCTATGTAGAACCGCTCGTTGGAGTTTACAGACGACAGCAGCATCTCCGTGATCTGGCGAATGACGCCCAGGAGTACAGCATGCATGTACTCCACCGTGAACCCCCACACCAGGTCAAAGTCTGGAAGGCTCACGGCTGGAGACGGACCCTTGTAGCCGTTGATGACCAAGGAGGACTCCAGGGCCACCTTCATGTCCCGTAGGACACCTGCTGACGTCCTCCCACGTGCATCCTCAAAGGAGAGGAATCTGAGGCTCCCTGAAAATGAGGTTGAAATGACTATACAAAACTTGCAGTGGTAGAACGTTTACATCCAAAGGTCAGATAGATACGTACCATCAACGTAATCTCCCTTGATTAGGCACCATGGGCACCCGTAGTACCCGTTGAACAGTACCATATTCTGCACAGATGCGCGTGCGGGGGCATCCACGCAGCAGCACAAGATGTACGCTCTAGACGAGTGCTGTGTGCCTTCATGCTGCCAGGGGACGGGTTGCATGCTCTTGACACCCTCTACAAACTTTCCAAAAAACAAAGTCATGTTGGGGTGTCCCTTCCCAAACCAAAGTCCAGCAAGCACTGAAACCTGGAATCGTTGAGGCACTGGCAACTCGTTGACAGTGAACTGAATGGGCCAGACGGATGCACCGGAAGATGTAAATACGGGGCTTCCATCAGTGTTCACTGTCAACGTGAGGTCACTGTCCCCCAGGGTCCCCGATGACTGCAGATTCTTGTACGCTTTGGCTTGAGTGATGTCACCGATGACACTGGTGGTAGCACCCCGGTCACTGGCAATCTGGTTCAGCTTTTCGTGAAGGGCTGCTTTGTTGTTCTGAATGACATGATTCAGCTGCTTGCCGATGTCTAGAACAACGAAGAAAGCCCCATCTTTCTTTGCATCTTTGAGGTTGCTAGACGTCTCGCAGGTGGGACAGACGCCATCTTCAGCGGAAACCTCCAAGAGATCATTGCATGACCGGCAGTAGAAATGTCGTACAGCTGCGGACTCCGCCTCGGCTGCAAACAGCTTTCGGAACAGGTACTTGCTTTGTGGGAGCACAGACTGCTCTGGAGCAAAGAATGCATTGACCATCAAAAGAAGGTTGTCAAGGCCCTGCCAGCTTAAGGCTTCACCAGCCACAAACGCCATAATCATCGCAACAGCTGCTGCCTTGGTAGTTGTCGAATGGGGCAGAGTTTGGGTTCCAAAAGCTCGTAAGCCTGCTGCCAGTGCATGTTCTTCACTCATATGTGGTGGTTGCTCGGTCTGTTCCCAAAAGGTTGAAGAATCTGCATGTGACTGGTGAGTCATAGTCTCCTCTCCGTTACTCTCTGAAGAGTCAGCGTCTTCCGCAGTGATTCTCGACTGAGGGTCACTGCTGCAGGAATCACAGTCACTCTCGAGCTCGTCACCATCGCTGGGGACATCATAGACGGGAGAACCGGCTGTTGCTGATTGGTTCCCGCTTGGCACAGCCTTCTTACACCGAGACAGAGTGGACTTTGGTATCTTGAAAGACGCGCCCTTCTCTAAGTAAACAAATCGTCGACGCCGAGTTGCTTCACTACTAGCCATGATAACAAGTCACGGAGCAAACGCAGCCATCAAGCCAGGCTTGTGAACACGCGCACGAACAACAGGCAACAGGAAAGAAAAATGTAGAATTGCTGAGGAACAGAGGGGAGCGAGAAGCAGAATGACGCAAATGACGCGACTGACGCACAAAATAAAATTAAAAAAATAAATAATAAAAAAGAACCAGTTCGAGTTTCGAACGATCAAAAGTAACGCAGACGACGAAAGCGAAAGTCACGCACAAATACTCCGCCTAAAAATGGTCCACGTAAATACGGAGCAATTAATAGAAGAGCCAATGGGAGAAACACAAACCCGACCACACTTCCAAGACGAAGAACAAGTACGAGTTGCCGAGCGTCGAAACTGAGAGCACTGTGCGGAACAACGAACAACCTCAAGGTAAACAATGCAAACCGAGAAACGGAACAAGCCGAGCCACTGAGCCGAGCGGACCAGTGACCACCGCGGTGGGACAAACTAGCAGACGCAGTCAGAGCCGAAGACCGAATCTATAATAAGCCAGGGCGATGGCCAGCGTCGAAGCTACGCTGTTTGGTTACATTTTAATCTAATTTTTAGCGCCCCCGAAGCACCGCGCAAATTCGCTTCCCTGCAATTAAGGAATTGTGCGTGCGTGCGTGTGTGTGTGTGTGAGCTTTTCGCGCCGAGAATTCGGGAGTTGCTCGCAGTCGTGAGGGGTTTACTTCCGACGACTTCGCGAGTTCCAAGTTTTCGTTAAATCGACGGCTGTATGGTGTTTCAGAGGTCATAAAAATAATATTTAATAAGTTCTACTATTTTTAATAATTAATATGAGCCTTGAGGATATTTAGGATTTTCTTCCAACGAATAAACACCAATAAGATACCATCATGTTACAGCAGTTTCACTTCTGTTTTCAAGAGAGATATTCCAGGCTCATTACAATCCCGTCCAATCCAATCCAATCCACCTTTATTTTTCGGAGTTGCCCGAACGGCTTTCCTTTCTGGCTCTGCTCTTGCCTGTGCCTCCTAGTCCTAACAGGACCTCTGCTTTGATTTGGGTATCGTTGTTTTCACCTTTTTGTGTTACTGCGTTCTATCTTGTGCACTTCGTTTTGTGCGTTGTGCGTTTTTTTTTTCTGGTAGCCCAGCAAGCGTTGCTTTATTCTTTTGACTTTCTTTTCGTATGTTTCTTCTGTTTTCGCGATGTTCTACGCGTACGTACATTACCCCGCCGACAAAGAGAAGGCGATCATGCCTGTGTGCCTGATCAAGGATTATAATCCAAAAACGGAGACTGACATCCCTAGTGAACCGGTGCAAGCGTATTGGCACTCCGAGGCCGGCCTTGAAGAAGGCTACTACGAGGCGAAAGTGGTCCTTCTTGCAAGTAAGTACCTGGCCTTTGCTGTTCCTCTGTGTTTGCCCTGCGCTGATCTGTTTTCTCAAAGGAAGTGTGTGCGGTTTGTGTAGCTCAGAACTCGATTGCAATACTGGGAAATCGTACTTCCTTAACATACGATTGTGGTAAACGCAATATCCAGCGTTACTTCCGACGTAACTACTTTTAATGAGTAAAGTTATTCGGACTCCGGCCTGCACCTCGACCGGAAAAGGGTGTACGCACTACGCGAAACTCGTATAAAACGAATAGTTAAAAGTTTTCTAATAAGCGGTGGCAAAGCATAGTGGCAAGGTTTCTGCTTCATACGCAAGTGGGCGCGGGTTCGATCCGCGGTGTGGGCCCACTTTCTTTTTTTTCTCGAACATTTTGTTTTGTCGAGGCGTTTGGCAATATTTGCGGCATATCTTTTTTATGCTTACTTGAATACCAGTTGAACGTTTAGGAAAAGCGATGGAGAGAAAAAAAACAAAGAACCACACTACTGGACTATCAACCTTTTAATAAAACTTTCTTTTCCTCAACACTATCCTAAAAGGTGTCTTCTTCTTCATCTGTGAGATCTTAGACTGAAACTTCCTTTTTCTCGACACTAACCGTAGAGTTTACCTCTTCTTCAGCTGTCGGATCTTACAAAACTTTCTTTTTTTCTACACTTTCGGTAGTGTCAACTTCTTTTTCCTCTGTCGGATCTTGGCATTCAAATAGTCCCGACTTGGTTGCTCCGAGGGGCCACTCCCTGCGGATATATTTTTTTTTTAGGCAAGAGCGCAATGGAGGCGACACTTAAGCATTCTTCCCCCCTTTCCTCAATGGCCAGTGACTCGAGTAATCTCCCTTCCAAGCTGTTTCCGGTGTCGTGCGACAAGTGATGTTTGTGAAGTGAGGACCACATTTGCATTCCCGACAATGTGTCGAAAAGTGGCCTGCCGACGTTAGTGTGGCCACAGAGGCTGCATGTTCTCTGGTGCGGTTGTTTATGCACCTCCCTGTTTGCCCTATGTAGCTTTTGCCACATGACATAGGGGTATTGTATACGACTCCTTTTTCACATGGGGCATAGGGTGTTCAATGCGCAGTGCCGCAGGTCGTCGTCACGTTCTGGTCGGTCTTCCGGTTCACCCTACGGCACGTGGCGTATGCCTTGTTGGGGGCTGAGCACACAACATGGATGCCTTGTCGGCCAGCGATCTTTTTTAGACGATGAGTGATCCCGTGTATATATGGTACCACTACGAAAGGCTTTGGTGGTTTCTTTTTCGTTGGTTCATTTTTCTCCGGATTATGTCGCACTTGCTTACAAAGCTTCTCACATATCACATATCCCCATGTCATGTGGCAAAAGCTACATAGGGCAAACAGGGAGGTGCATAAACGACCGCACCAGAGAACATGCAGCCTCTGTGGCCACACTAACGTCGGCGGGCCACCTTTCGGCGCATTATCGGGAATGCAAATGTGCTCCTGACTTCACAAACATCACTGTCGTCGCACAACACCGGAAACAGCTTGGAAGGGAGATCCTCGAGTCGCTGGCCATTGAGGAGAGTTAGAGCCAGATTGTAGCACATTTTTATCCCGTGAATCCAAATATCACATTCGTTTTCCCTGAAGATGTAACTGAACACAAGAAAACTCGAAAAATTTCCCGCCAAATCTTTTGATTACCAAGTCTATGTCGCTCATGTGGGTAGCACGTGCAATTGCAAGCTTACCAGGTATATTCCCCCACACGTGACACCATTTGTGATGTTTTTTTGCTGACCTTTCTGAAAATATCAAGAGTGCGAGCATGACTATGATGGGTGCTCAATAAGGCACGAGAGAGCGGAGGTTCCAAGAACTCTGGGTGTGATGTCATGCTCAAAGAGGGCGGGACTTCGGTGCTATTTTCAAAATGCTGTGCGACGGCTTCCTACATCAGATTGAAAAATAATTTCGATATTCATGGTCCTAGAGGCCAAAGAAGATGATCCATGTGTTTTTTCAAATATACAGAACCACTTCGGTTTCCCTTTAAACCGAATGTGAGTGCATCTACACTGGTAGTGCACACTCTAAATTTTTTCACTGAAATTAAAAAAGATGCAACTGCCACAAGGATTGGTAGTCTGAGCACCTACAAATAATTGAAGCATTTGTTAAGAGGAAGAATATGTGTGACGTAAATGCAGCTTCCAGTGACTTACTAAAATAATTGTAATGTTTTGGGCAGAGATTATCAGCAGAGTACAGGGCATAACACAGCACAATCACATGACCGCTAACTTTTCTTATTTTTCTCTTATAATTGAAATGCTGTCATTGAATTCATGGATTTATATGTGGCTTGCACGTGACATATTCTGCAGTGTTGGCGGTTGTTTTACTTCTTGCAAACTGTGCAGTTCAAGCTTGGTGGTGTAAAATTACTATAGCATTAAATTAACACTAGTGGCTGATATGCCATCAGTATGCCTGACCCTGTCATGTCAGACTGACCTATCTGTTCTGTGGCTCTGTTAACATGTTTTTATCTTTTATTCACCAGAATCGAAGAGGGCACTTCTCGAGGAGATGGCCCACAAGAAGCGACTGGTTATTCCCCACATTTTTGAGGAACCAGTGCAAGTAAGTGGGTCTGTTGCAGACACAGACTTTTGTTTCGAGTTGGTTATTGTGTTTATGACATTTGATACCTTACTTCAGTCATTATTCGCGATTTGTAATGCTAAAAACCTGAAAAGAAGTCTTGGGGATGTCTAGAAGTATTTTGTCGAGCCAGCGAAAAAAATAAAGGAAAGCTAGTTTGTAGTAGATAGACCTATGAGGTGGAAAATAAATTGTTTAAGATCGAAGTTCCACAAAAGAGGGCAGTGGAAAATGGCAATTACAAAACGGTTCCACTTTGAGCGGACCCGGGCACTTCCACAATATTGTATTGTATTTTGTATATTTTAGGCATCAACATCAGGTTCTGCGTCCAACAAGAACTTGAAACAACGCAAGGCTCTTGCCAAGAGGAAACAGATGGCGAGCATTCTAAGTAAGAAGAGGCCTTTAGCAGGAGACTCAACCGACGACGAGGACCCTGCAGTTGTGCCGAAGTCGGAGCTAGATAGGGCTGAAGAAGCTCTGCGATCTCTGCGGAAGAGGCTCCGCAAGGCGGAGGAAAAGTCTTGTGCCACATGCGCCGAAGGCGTTGTGTCGAAAGCCGAACATGACGCAGCTCTTGGAAAAATTGAGGAGCTTCAAAAGAAACTAAAGGAAGTAGAGGATTCCAACTTTCGACTCATGCGTGTCGTCCTCGACAAGATCGGTAAGCTACCCGTCATGTTTACTTGAATGTTTCGCAATTGTGCTTTAGGATTATGCACCCTTATGGCTAACAATGGACCTTTTCCACATACCGACGGCACCAGGCGGTGGCTGCACAAACTAAAAATTGAGGAAGTGACCTACCTGCGCTACCAATCGATATAGGGAGCTAGGCTACCAGTTTCTTCGCTCTCCGAGCAGCGGCGCGTGCCCTACGCGACTTCAAAGAGGGGCATCTGTGGCATCCACCTAAACGTCGTGTTTTCCTTTCCGTCGACATTCTCTTTTCATGTAACACAATTATATATATTCTT